TGACGAATCTGTCTTCTGAGATTTAGCCTTGTCTGCGACGAGTTGAGTCAACAGGTCTAGGAGTTCATTGAGGGTCTTCTGCTGTGATTTGAGCATGGCGTCTTGCTCCGCAACCCTCTTTGAAAGATCTTCAGAATGTTCTGCCATGTGGGTGAAGCTCTCATGCCCAATGAAAGAGCTTGATGATTGAGACTCAGCAATGGCTGAGTGTTCATCATCGGAATTAGTTCTTGTGACTAACCTCCGATAGTTGACAGGGGGAATGGCTCCTGTTCGCGTCCGAGTGCATCGGTAGATCCCTTCAAACTCGTTAGCGATTTCTCTGACGGTCGGCGAACGACTTGTCTCTGAGTCATCGGAATTAGGACTTGAGGCTTTCCCTCTTCCGATCACATTGATAGTGACCTCAGGATACTGGAACCCCCAGTCCACGATTGGACAGGACTGGCTCTTGGTGAACATGGATCTGGTTGAGATGCCTTGAATCCATGAACTTCTTATATCTGCCCCTCAACCTAGTCGCGCTACGCAGAGTATTCGGGGGTCTCGCTGCCCGGTCAGCGAGCTGGGGGTCCAGGGGGCGGCGCGCCCCTGGCCAGGGGGTCCGGGGGGGATGGAATACCCCCCGGTGGGGTTCGGGGCAGCGCCCCGAAGCTCCACGGTATACACCAGGTTCGGTATTGAATTTCGCCACTCGAACGCATGCCTGAGCTCCAGGTGTTGCTGGTGAAACGCAGTTCTGAGGGCTACGTTCAGTCTTATTCACACAGAGCCTATGTTTGGGCTCATGAACGCGAGGCTTGCGTTCTGAAGCAGAAACGCAGAGCACATGGTTACGTTTAGGCTCACAAACACAAAGCTCGTGTTGACTTGAGGATCGGCATTCTCGAAGTTGTGCTCGTCGTCGAGATCTTCTTCTTCGTCGAGCGGCATTCTTCTTAGCCTGCTTCAAGGCCTTTGTAGCGACGCCACCATCTGTGTTGATCAAGTTTGTCGCCTCAATGGACATCTTTTGACCCGATACCCGTCGTCTTGGCGCGGGTTTGGCTGAAGCTGAGCCCACTCCATCGGGGGAGGGGCTGTCCGAGCAGTCTTCCTTAGGCGATTCAGCTGCAATTGAAACAGTTAGAGCTTTAGTCTCTTTGGAGACTTTGTGGATCTTGCGCATAGCCTTGGGGCTAAGGGATCCGGAAGAGAGGGCCTCCTCAAACTTGGCTTGATCAAACTCTACCACGAGAGTTTCGACGGTTGTTCCAGTGAGATGAACATCGGATTGCGCCACCACTTCTTCATCAGAGAAGCTCTTCCCCAGCGGAGTCGCCATCTTTTGTTTGTGGGAAAATTTACAGTAAAAGAAACGAAGGAAAGTTGATTTGTATTCCTTTAATCTCAGTTACAATTGGATTTCCTGATTACAAAAGAGAAAAGAATGATCTGGATTCTCCCCTTTGTTTAATTCTGGGTTCTTCACGGTGACGATGGAGTGCCTCAAAAAGAGTTGATTTGAACTGAAAGTTCGATTGATAAGTCAAGGATGAAGAAGCTCTTGTTGCAGATCTCCCAAGCTTCAGAAAATGCTCCAAGGATCTCTTCTGCTGCTGCCAAGAAGTTCCAACAGACCGCTACCAACTCTCAGATCAAAAAATGCCAGCCTGAACTTAATTGAGTTTACCCATATTTATATGGAATTAAGGGGTGTAACCACCCTCTTAATCCGCTCCTAAGTGGGGAGGAAATTCCTCAAATCGTGGAAGGAAAACGGTTCCTGTAACCGTTCAGCTCGTGTTTGAACGAGTCAAACGCCCACGTTGGCGTTCAGGACCCTAACTTCGCCTCTTAGAATTGAGACGCGGAGTTGGGTACCCGCAGGGCGTAGAAAAACGTGAGGGTCGACCTTGGCGATTTTGATGTTGTAACGCGGGTTTCGACCCTGGCGTTTTGATGTTGAAACGCGGGTTTCGACTCTGGCGTTTTTTGATGTTGAAACGTGGGTTTCGACCCTGGCGTTTTTTTATGTTGAAACGCGGGTTTCGACCCTGGCGTTTTTTGATGTTGAAATACGGGGAGGACCTCCGCGTCTTGCCTTGCAGAGATTATCACCAAGTAATCTCTTTTTGTCATAGCGTTGCAAAGATCATTGTCTTGTAATCTTCGTCTTGGCTCCTTGAGAATATGAGAGTCGTCAGATTGTAACTCCCGATGTTGATTGTGAATGCTGTTGAACTAGATCTCTCATCGGTTGTCGTGAAGGTCGTCAGATTGTAACCTTCAGCGATCTACGTGAAAGTCTTCAAATTGTAGCCTTCTGGAAGTCGTCAGATTGTAACTTCCATCATCGGTGTTTGATGGAGGATAAACTATCTATTGTGATTTTTAGACAGCCTACATCTACCAAGAAAGCTACATTCCTTTCAAGGCAAAGGATAATCGACGCCCGTGCTTCCAGATCCAGCTCTTCTCAATCCTCATCCGACATATCCTTGTGCTTCTTCTCTTTTCCCGCCAAAGCTTTGTGCAATTTCTGTGAAATCAAAGAGTTCTTCATTTGCATCCTCCAATAAGAAAAATCATTCTTCCCATTGAATTTTTCAATCTCGTATTTTCCCACTTTAACTGTTTTACTTGTTGACGCCATTCTCCGCTTGTACTAATAAACCGCTTCTCTCAAAAAAATTACCGAGCACCACCTCAAATCAGAAGCTACACCACTCTCAATCTGAATAACAGCTCTGATACCAATTGTTGGGCGCAGAGTCACGCCCACCGCCGCGAAAGCGATATCACCTGAGAGAAAGCCCTGACTTTTGTTATCACAAAAGCACAAGTCAACCTCTATATTCTTGTTTCTCAAAGGAAACGAGAATAGATAGTGAAATTCTTATTTCTCAAAGGAAACAAGAATCGAAAGTGATATATTTCATCAAAGTGAAATATACACTCTTCCTCTCATCAGCTCTAAGACCGAATATTGAGGGAACCTACAAGCAATAGTCAACACCCAGAAAACAGTAAATACACGAGATTTACGTGGTTCGGCAAACTTGCCTACGTCCACGGGAGGGGATGAGGGGAGATTCCACTATGAGAAGAACACCGACGACTTGTACAATCCACAAGCTCATCTCAAAGAAAAAATAGATCTGATTTTTACCCAAAAGAAATTAACCTCTCTTTTGTAAATCCCTCTTTTTTTTTCTCTCCTCTCAAGATCTCTCTTCTAGCCTCCTGAAATTCCTCAAGAAAACAGCCTCTGTTTTTACCCTGCAGCCGAGAAAGAAAATCTTTGCCGCTGTCTTTTTCCCACAGCAGCCGAAAAATTTTCCCCACAGCGTTTTCCCCTTAGCACGAAACCCTAGGAACACACTCATATATATAAGGGAGAGGTAGGCCTTTCGGGTGACTTTCAAAACGCGTGAATGGATATTATGGTCGTTGATCGCTATCTCCTCACACGGGAAAAGAGGAAACGGCACGTGGGTGGGGCACTCACAGATCACGTGTTGGTTATATTAATAGTAGCCTAGCTCAACTCCAAAAAAATATAAATATTGGTTTCATATTGCCATGTCAAACGCCTCATGTTTCAAAAATTGAAATTCTTTTGTGTCCACAAGTTAACAACAGAACAATCGCAAAATACAAGCAATGTGATCAAATCCCATATGCTCATTTAACAGGATAAGTAGTTCCCTTACAAAAAAATGAAACTCAAAAGATAGATTTATATAAATATTTAATTGCATGTCTTAGAAACATGATGTTGGTTCTACATCCAACGATATACCATACCAAACACCCCATATCTGTCTCGTTACATGATACTCTTTTTGTTTGGATAAGTTAACAGCAGAAAATCGTAAAATAAAAGCAATCCTATCAAATGTCATATGCTCATTTTATCTACTATATGAAAAACCATATTTCAAGCTTGACCTGCTAGGAACAGTTATGTAAGGATATAATTCTATGATATAAAGATGAAAATCAAATATTAGGATTAGCGTTTTGAGAGAAAAAACTCTATGATGGCGACTTTCATTTTTAGAACACACAATCTTTCAGAAGTGTATGAAACAAATAGGTGTGAAAATAACAAAACAACATAACGGCTGTTAGATGATAAAGCAGACACAGCTACATATCAAAACTGAACGACCAAACTTTCTCAAGTTATAGGAGAAGCATGAATAGGCACTAGGGTCAAGCAACACTTGCTTATATGGGTCAGACTATAACAGGTTCCCCATAATTTTTATTTTCAACCTTGATGACATTTAACTACACAGGAAGATCTCACAAGCATCATATAGATATTGACCAACTTTTGACTTAGCAGGTGCCATGTCAAAGCTATGGATATATGAATTGGCATACAAATGCAAAAATTGTTAGGGTACACACCAACAATAACGTCTCGAACGGAGACGTAATACACAGAATAAAGGCATAATATTAAACACAGTACTCACAGATATACATGGTTCAGTCCTTCGGAGCTACTCCACGGCGCAACGACGATGCCAAATTCTATTATATCCCAAAAGAATAGATCAAAGAGAACACCCTCTCTTGATCAGATACACTCCAAGAACTCTCACAAACTCTCTGTGTTTTCTCTCTTACTCTTCTATAAGAGGAGTTGTTTCTAGGATGAGATTTCCTTAAGAGTTTAGGGCCATATTTATAGTGTTTGGAAAAATACCATGTACTAATAAAATATTATTGGTGGGACCCGTCACTAATAATATTTTACTATGGGACCCACCATCTTTTTCCTTCTTCAAATCTTTCGGCCACCGAAACCTTGATTGTCAAAAAAAGGTGGCGGGGGTGGATGGCTGGGTCAAAAGAGGTGGCTGGCTAACAAAAATTATGGGTATCCAAACATCAGGCAGACAGCCGACCTATGTTATTGAATAGCTTGATAAGATGAACACAAATTACTGATGTATTCTTAATATTTTTAGAAAAAGGATCGCAAGAACCCAGGAGCAACATACCTGGCTTTCCTCCCGATAAAACAGCACTTTCTGATGGTTCCACACCGTAAAGCTTAAAAGAATCAGATAACATAAAGATATTAGAACAGCATAAATATCACACAAAAAAGCATAGCAAGTACACAACCAACCATTTGAAGGTCAGATGCTGCGGAAAGGAGCTAACTGACAATATTATTATATAATCTTAATTGCACTAACCTTAACATCTGGATTTTTCTCTTTAAGATATTTCCCTGTTCCAGTTATTGTACCCCCAGTTCCAATGCCAGATACAAAGGCATCAATTTTCCCATCAGTTGCACTCCATATCTCAGGCCCAGTTGTTTCATAATGAATCTATAAGCAAATCATGAGATTCAAATATATCCTTTGTGATAGACAGAGAAATTCTAGAGAGTGATCACATATAAGTACCTTTGGATTGGAAGGGTTTTCAAATTGTTGAAGAATATATGAATTGGGTGTCTTTGCAGCCAACTCTTCAGCCTTCTGAACTGCTCCTTTCATTCCCAAAACCGGATCAGTTAGAACCAACTCAGCACCAAAAGCTTTAAGAATGATCCTTCTCTCGAGACTCATGGACGCTGGCATTGTTAGGACAAGCTTATAACCCTTCGCTGCTGCTATGAAAGCCAACCCTATGCCAGTATTACCACTGGTAGGCTCAATCAGGACACTCTTTAAAACAATAAAACAAGCACAAAAAGGGAAGTATCAGTTAAATATGTCGATAAGGTTCCAATATCTACATCTGTCATATATAACTATTATATCTATGAAGACTTACTAGACTATCTGAAACTAGGCTATAATACAAATATGATTAGCGCTTCAGTCAAAACCTATTACATGAGGACCCTTGAAGCCACAGCCCTAAACGTAATCTAATCAGCCAAGATATATTTGCTTGATGTTCATTATGGCTAGAAATATCACCATAGTGCTTGTTTTACTAGGATATTATATTTACAGATTAGGTTCCTACTCCTTCAACTCCTATAAAAACGAAAGTTAAGATCAAAATAAAGACTAGAGATCAATTGTGAACAATGTTAAGTCCAAACTACCAAGGAAATGATTAGTTCATATCTTTATTATTATTATGAGATAGCATTTTCAACCAGCTGTCTGACAAAGGGCAGTTGGCTGCTCCTAATAAATTTAAAATTTAAATTTTTAAAATATATTTCCTGACCTCTTCCACCAATATTCCTTTACCTCCAAATATCAGATCTCTTAATAATAACTTTTGAGATCATCAAGATTAAAAATAACAAGTTTTGACCACATACTACTACCTAGATCAGCATGCAAAAAGAACAAGTTTTGAGATCATCAAGATTAAAAATAGCAAGTTTCAACCATGATTGAGACTGTTAAGTGTATCAACTAACAATCCCATTTGAAACTGGAAAGAAACATAGTAAAGCTCAGTCTGATACATGCAATCAATTAAAAGGATTGAGGAATAGTTTGTCTAGGAATCATATATAGAAATTCAGGAAAATGCAGAAGAGCCTACAAATCATGAAAGCGTTCTACAAATCTTAGATCATCACCATCATCACCTAAGATTTTCTCCACTAAAATAGGATTAATTATGAAGTAGACAAGCTCAATAGATGACCTAAATTTACAAGCAGTAACTACGAACCTGGAGTCACCCCAATATAGATCAGTGAGTTCTTAGCCTGTGTAACTAAGGTGGTGTTTGGAAGGGCGTATTAACTGAAGCTTATAACCTATGGTATCTTTCGGAGGCTTTTGACTTTTATGATAAAAATTCTACAAAAATTATATCAGTAGAAAAGTCAGTGTTTTGGTCAAACATAGCTTATTTAGGTAAGACTTATAAGATAGTTTTTCAAAAGCTGGGGAACCCAACATTTTTAAATAGGATTTATAAGATAGTTTATTTGAGATGTCTCCAAACATGTAGATATCAAAAGGCTAGCTTAAAAGCTACTTTGATGAAAAAATAAGCTCCCCAAAACACCCTTTAACTATGAGCAACAGAGGGTTATGCCTTATGCCTTGATAGCCATTTGGCTGATTGGTAAGTATATCCTCGTTCTTGCAGTTTAAGCTCAATAGAAACCCTCCAAAATCATATGGACTGTGAAGAAGGCAGCTAAGATGAATGGTTTGCTCATAAAATTAGCCAAAAAATTTAATGGACTCACTTCCCCAAAATCTGAAAACTTTTCAGAATTAAAACATACAACTTATCACAGGTTTTAGAAATTTGTACTCATAGGTCGCAAGGTGTTAGAAAACAAGGCACTAAAAAAATCTAGCTTTTCAAATTACTTCTGAAGCATTTGAATAAATCTGCATATGCTGAATAGTCAGCTAAGCTGAGGTAAATGATATTCCTTTACAGCTTCAAGATAATGTGAAAGCAGAGAAGAAATATTGTGATGAGGTGTTAAAATTGCAATAATGGGAACTGACGTATGAAATTCTAAAAGTGTCCCCTTGTTGGTTAGTTCTTCTTCTGTCCAATTTGCAAGCTGTCACTTTAATTGTAAGCCTAATACTTGTCTATTTCCCTCCTTTGTATGAAGAAGGTACTGATTATATGCTAGTGAAAATCCACAAGTTGGTTACCTGCCCAGGAGTGATAAGGCCTTTTTCCTCAGCATCAGTAATCATGCTATATCCAATCCTGCCAGAAAAATTAATTCTACCAGCATTAAAAAAAACTCTGTTGGTTTAAAAAGATAAGTTTCTTTAGAAAATGTGAGAAAGAAATTGACACCTGTCCTTAACACTGGAGCAGGGCTCCATCATTTCAAGCTTAGCAGCAATACGGGCCTTGCAGCCACTCACGACATTGTTGAGATACACCAACGGAGTTTTCCCGATCAACTGAGATATTGCAGGAAATACTTAGAGAACTAAAGATTGAACTTGAAGTGGTTAAACAACATTCAGGGAAAAAGGAGAAGCTCATACTTCAGTGACGTCCTTAGAAATCTTAGTTGTATGACTCACTTCACCCATTTTATCAAACTATCTGCAAGAATCAAAGGTTTAGAACATATTCAGTTCTTCCAAACATATCTACTGGACATTTGCACACCTCGAATGAGAGTTTTAAGTTTTATTCTACTGGAAATAAATTTGAGTATTCAATTTGAGCATAATGCAATTTAAGTGTCATATGCAGTCATAATATATGTAAATTTTAGCCAAAATGGATGATAATGTAAGCTATATGCATGGAAATTGTAGGTCTCATTCATCCTTACAAAAAGGAATAGACAATATACATAACAAAAACATCCAGAGGGTAACATTTTATTTCTTAAAAGCCTCTTACGGTTCAATTTCATGATGGTGTCAGGTGGAAGATGAAAAGAATTACTTAGACATGTATTCTAAAACTTAACATATCAAATAGCTACCTTGAAGTAATCATACAATAATTAATCACATGGTGTACCATATAATAGCAGCACAGTTTGTAGATGTTCATATGCACAGTTAAGAAGTAAGAATTCACTGTTTAACACAGAAAAGCTATATTTCTCAATTATCTTTCTATACCGATGACTGTTTACTGCAAGAAAGAATAAAAGGAAAACAAGTAGACAAAAATCATATCGTGTTTGGATCTGATGTGCAATTTGATTCTTTTATATTAATTATCCCTTAATAGGAGATGCAAATGGTAAAGAAATCCATAAATTTCCATCAGTTTTATGGCTCTCATACTATAACGCATACTAATTAACAAATTACATTGGGAGTAAAGATTAATGATAACTAAAGCTAGGCAGTAGTTTCCGAAAGACAAAAGACTTTGATACGGAGGCATTTCAAAGCATACTTGGTTCAGTTGGAAATAATAAAATGAAAAACAACTAAGTATGAACATAT